CTGCCTCTTTGCTGCACTGGGAGCTGGCTGCAGCCTGACAGGAGGCAGAGAATGCAGAGGCTGGTCACAGCAGCCCTTCTTGCAGGATCGTGTGCGTTATTACAGGCAAAATCCTCCAGCCTGTGTTAGGCAAGGAGTCAGGTTAGATAACTAGAGTGGTCCTAGCTGGGGCGAAAGCCTCCTGTCTGGCTGTGCCCTGGGTTGGGGCCAAAGGCTGGATTTCTCACAACAGAAGCAGGGCGAAAGGGAGGGGGAACACTGCCAAGGGCTCTGCTTCCATAACCAAGACCTTTTTTTTTTGTGCAAAGAGCTTAATTCCTCTGGCGTTCTGCTTTGGGAAGGCTTCTCGGTGCACCTGTGTCCTCGGAAGTGTTGACTTTCTTACTGTTCACTGCTTCTGAAAGGAGACTCCCGTGCACTGATGAATGGAGTTTAGCATCTTTCCTGGTGGCCCTTCTGGGTGTCCTTGGTCACACTCTTTAGTTCGCTGTGGAACCAGCTTTTTGCCTCCTGCCAAGATCAGGCTCCAGGGGGGACGTCTTTATTTTCCTCCCGAAGAGAACTTGTGCTTTTGCTGACAAGCTCTGTGTCTAAGCATTGACTCTTTCTGAACTCGTGATGCCAAGACTTTTTATATATTTACTTCCTTTATAAGGACATCGACAGACACACCCATCCCAAGCCTTGCGTCCCTTGATAGGCTTCTGTTCCAGAATAAATTCTCAAACACAATGGAGTGTTCCTCCCAGAACTAAAATAACTGTAGACTTCAGTAGTGATCTCTGCAGCCAGGGATGATATTTATTCCCTGCTCGACTGCCTTAAACCACGGGCACCAGAGAGTGCCCTTGGGGCTGCAGTATCTGTTGAGCCAGGAGAGGGGAATCCTGGCTCTGCTGCAGCCAGTGAGTGTTTCCCTGCCGTCAGGATTTCATCCCAAGGCTGCGCAGGAGTGGAGAGGGCTGGTTTTTCCTGCCCTTTCCGTCCTTAGGGCAGGGCAGCCTTTCCCACACAGATTGGAGTCAGATAGGCTGTAGCCTTTAGCCTTTGCTGAGCTTGGCACTGTCTTTAGATGCCACTTTTTCTTGACTTTTTTTCAGCAAATAATGTTGTGGTACAGCTGATGCCAGTGGAGCAACAGGGACAGGGACCATCAGAAGCTTCGGTCCTTCTCCACTGAGAGCCTAGAGAGATTAGGCTTCTAATGTAGATGCCTTAATTAAGTGCCTAAGGATTAGATGTCATGAATCTGACCCCAAGCATCCCTCTGGGCAGATGGTGAGTTAGCACTGAACTTGAACACGAGTGTTGAAGAGGCCTTCTCAGCTATTAAGTCTCTGGGAACCACATTTAGCCCCAAAGCATTCAGAGGTTGCTCACCTGTCCCACCCCAAAGCACATGGACCTGCAGAACTCCTTCCACACCTTATGGCTTTGAGAGACACTGATGGGCTTTGTTCTTTTTTTTAGTAATATACCACAGGTGGAGAAATCAGTAGTGTCACTTAGGTCTTGTATCATCAGGGGAGAAGTGCCCATCCAGTCTTAAGAATTGCATCTTACCCTCCAACGGCAGAAGAAGGCAAAAGGCAGGGGACGGGACTCCTTTGTGGCCCCAAATCTGGCAATCAGTTTGGCCTGAACATGCAGGATGCATCAAGTAGGCATCAGTAGTTGGTTCACAAACAATCAAATGGAGTTCCTGTGTTTCAGAGCATCTAGCTGGGTGAAGCTCACCGTCTCTGCTGGGACGAATTTGTGTTTGGTATCATTTCAGCGAAGCTCATCGAGCTCTGAGGGCCAAATCAGAACGAGTGCCTGTGACCACTCCAACAGTGACTTTTGCCAAGACTGCCCAGCCATGAGAGTGAAACCTTCCTGTGAGGAGCAGCTCTGAGAGCCACCAGTGTGTCCTGTGGGCAGCCGAGCTGCTCTGAGACAGGAGCCAGCTTTGAAGGCATTGAGGACTGGGTGAGCGTGATCCTCCCTACCCTGCTGCGTGTAGTGGCTTTTTATTTTGGCTTTTGCAGACAGAGTGCCACTGGGAGAGATCACGCTGAGCCAAAGAACTGTGCGTGTGCTTGCCTTAATTTTATTCTTTAGCCTTACATGATTTTTAGCAATTATCTAAGTGTCTTCTGTTTTAATTGCTGTAAGTTCAGAAAAGCTACCGGTTGGGCACGGTGAGTGAACCCAGAAGAACGTAATAAGGTGAATTAAACATCCACTATTCTTTGCTTGGGGGAGATTTTGAGCAGGGTTGACATCTTTATCCTTTCACTTGAGGCAGCTCAGGCAAAAAGAAGAGAGGCAAATCGGTGTTCACTTGGGTGTTTCCTCCCTTTGATCATTCTGAGTCACTCAACCTTCATGTTCTTCTCTTGCTTCTTGGCAAGTGGCGTGTCCGGTGGGGTGAACAGTTCAGCTGCTAGCTCTAGGGGTAGTTTTGATTGTTCCAGTGCCCTAAGAAAATCTTTGCTCATGGGTGTAGGGAGCTCCTAAAATCCAGGAATCTCCAGCTGTGATGTTCGTCCTTCGCGTCCTGCTGCTCCTCCATTATTTTTCGGCTTATGGTAAGAAGGTGCCGTTGTGGCAGACTTGCTCCCAGAGGCAAAGGGTCCTTCTCTGCCTCCAGCAGCCCTCACGTGGGGGGCTCAGCACTGCTGCTGTTGCTTTGCAGAGAAGAGACCGGTCCAAGATGTCGGTTCTGCTGTCCAGCAGAGGAGGCAGAGTGGATCCAGATCTCTTGGCAAGGCAGGGCAGGCAGCTGGCTGGCCATGGCAGAGCTAAGGGAGCCTGAAAGATGAGCAGGATTGCGACTCAGTCCATTTTGTTTGTGCTGCCATTCTGAGAATCATAGAATCATAGAATGGCCTAGGCTGAAGATGAAAGCGTTCAGCTGGAGGATGATGAGCAGCTTGGTAAGGGTGTTTTATAATCAAATTATTCTTCTCTTGTAGGTTGAAAACTCAATCAGCCCTCATAATGCTGGGTCAGTGCTGAAGATTCCCCAGAGAGCTCCTGACAGGTGAGTGAGCATCGTGATTTTGGTTGAACAGTCCATTTGAGGTCACACAGTAGGTTTATGTGGAAAGCAAAATTTGGAAGATTTGGTGCAACTGCTGCATCTTGGACGAGGAGCGATGTATGAATCAAGACACACGTACTTTTAAAAAGGTACAAATACAACGATTTCACATGCCCCATGTGACATGGAATTCAGCTGTGGTTTGTGTTCTTGTTGTGTGAGAAAATGAGAGCAGAGGTGTGTAGCTCTTTATCCCTGTCATAACAAGGGGAGAACGTCCTGCGAAGTGCGAGCTGCTGATTTTAGATGACAACATATTTTAAGGTGTCGAGCCTTCCAAAACGGGAAGGAAGGTATATCCAGCTCGACTGCCTTTAGCTCTGAGCTGCTCTAGGGTACTGGATGTTTATGCCGCCTCCAATACATTAAATCTTTTGTGTGGAGACTTAATCCTTCGCTGTGACATTAACAGAAGTAGCTGTTACGGAAATTATTGTGAAATCCCTCGTCTTACAGAAGAGGCGAAGGAGGCACATCTGAGGTGGTTTGCACCATGCTAATGCTCTCCAGCCCCAAATCCCAAAGGGCTCTCCAAGTGCTAATTAATTAAGAGCATAAGTTTTCAGCAGGGAACAAATGGCGACATAAGGAGTGTGGAGGATGATCTTGGTGTTCTTCAGGGACCTGAAAGGACCTGAGTAAAATGCAGGCCTTGATTCCCAGCTAAGATGCCCTGCACCTGGGGATGGAGAGGAAGGAGGCTGATTTAAATGACCCGCCACACTCTCCCTGTGGTTTTCTTCATCTTCTGTCCCACTTGCCAGCATACTTTGCTGGGATGCAGTAGGGACCGCAGGGCACTCTGTGTGTGCCTCTGCCCATGCGTTATATCATCCCGAAGTAACTCTATAGCTTTTGCATCACTGCTTTATGTTTGCCCAAAGCACACGGGTGTTAGAATCATAGAACTGTTTGGGTTGGAAAAGACCTTTCAGATCATCGAGTCCTCTCGCGAACCCAGCGCTGCCAGGCGCACCGCTGAACCACGTCCCTGAGCACCACATCTGTAGGGCTCCATCTTTTTAAGGGCCACTTTGGGCGCAGCACAGAGGATTCCTGTCCGGGACCCAACCTTCTGACACACCCCAGGCCAGCGAGGACTAAGAGTGCCCTCTGCTGCACTCCTTCTCCTCGTCCTCCCGTGGCAGCATTCCGCTTGCTGTTTGGGAATAAAGAAAACAACTCTTTAACACGCGAAATGACTCTTTCGCATTCTAAAGGTCTTTTTGTGCAGAAGCCTGATTCTGTATTCCGGCAGCAAACAGAAAGGATCATGCCCCGAGATAGAAATGTGTGATATCCTGCATTGATCCCGAGGTGCAGATAAAGCACTACAGGGAACTGCTCTCCTTTATCGATAACCTTCGCCCTGTAGCTTCCTGTTGCCTTGTAAAACAGAGTTCAGACAGGAGTCTTTATAGTGGTGAAACTTTAATTTCCCGGAGCTGGCAGCAGCAAGAGCTGGTGATGCCCGCTCAGTCGTGGTACCTGATTGCACCTCAGGGTGCTGAACTTTCCGTCTCTCCCTCCGGTTCCAAGGAAAAACACTGAGCACCACAAAGCTGTGCTTATTTAAGTCCTCAGCTCTTGCAGCCAAAAAGGAATGGATATTGGTAGGGAAGGAGGAGTTGTGTCAAGAAAGCTGTCCCAGCCTTCATACTTCTGGAGTTAAAAAGAGGGAAGATTAAAAAATAATTACCCTGCTTTTACTGGGATTTGATTTACCCACGTGGAAAGGAACCAAGCTGCAGCCTGTGCCGACAGCCCCGTAACCACCAGGGCCGCAGGAATCTGCTCGTGTTCCCTGGAATTTGGACATTTTTTTCGTTGCACCCATTTCGGCTCGCTTTCCAGATTGTCACTCAATTGTGGGGCACGCCCCCTCCGGGGAGGCTTATTTAAAGAGGAGCCGATGTGCAACTTTCTCCAAAGAGAGAGGAGAAACTCCGAAGGAGTGAGTCAGTCGGCAGCCTGAATCCCCTCCCTTCCCTTTACTCGGGATGTCTGGCAACTTGGGGACAGCGACCTGGACCCTCTTCCTCCTCCTCCTCCTCCTCCTCCTCGCGCCGGGCTGGGTATGTATCGCACCGCAGCAGCTCTGTTCGCTGCCTGAGCAGTGCAGCTTCTTGCTTTGATGCACGGGAATGCTTTAAGCTGAATAACTCTTCCCAGCTGCCACCTGCCTCCAAAGGTTTCCGAGAGGAGCTCGGCTCTTGGCAGAGCGATGCAAACGCACCGCGTTAACCGAGTCGCGCTCGGAGCTGCACCGTGCGTCGTGCCTGTCGTCTGCGGATCTCCTGGCAAAAGTGAATGGATTTTGTTTCGCTCTGCTCTTGGGAGCTAGAAGCCAGCCCTGGTTTATGGGGGGGAGAGAAGAGAACAGAGAGAGGTGAAGTTACTGAGGTTGTGTCACTGCAAGGAATCAAAATCTCGTATCCCAGTTGCTTAATGTAATCATCCTTCCCCGGCTGCCGCTGAATCCCCGGGTGTGTTCCCAAAAGCAGTGTTCCTGAGGGGGGAATTAGACTGCAGCCTCTCCAGAGCAGGATTGGTGCCTGGTGTTATGTCAATACAAGAGCTTGACAGAGCGGTTGGTTCTGCTGAGGACTTTGGTGTGCTATTACAGCGCCAGCAGGAGCATTGCTGCGGTCATTAATGTACCTAAGCTGCTGTACGTACTTTTAAGATTGGTGAAGAAATCAGGTTCACAGAGCCACTGTGCCTTGCGTGGCTTATTGTGCTGGTAGATGAAATAAATTTCAGGTTGATAAGGTCTGTTTCTTTGCTCCTGGCAGCACCCAGCGTGTTTCAGCCCCTTTCCTGCCAGGAAGGGTGTCCTGTGCACCCGACAGTGCTCTGGTCTGAGGGTAACTTGTGCAGTTTGGGATGCTCTTCTTGTTTCTTGCACTGACCCAGCTCTGGCAGCATCATATCGGTCACATAGACGATGGCAGTGAATCCCACTGCTGTCACTCTCTATTACTACTTTGAGAGGATTTCATTTTCCCCAAATCTGCCGACAGCCTTGGAAATGGGGCTTCTGACTTTCACTGAGCTCCGAGAGCGATGTTTAGTGCACGGGGCAGAGCTGTTGCTCCTGAATCTGCCTCCTGCGTTCAGAGGCGAGAGCAGAACTGGGATCGCTGCTGGGCACGTCTCCGTGTCTCCGCTCTGGGTGAAATTGGGGTTGTGGTTCTTGTCTCTTGTACAACGTGCTGCAGCAGCCTGGGGAAGGCGCCTCGAGAACCTGTGATGGAGAGAGAGCAAGTATTACCCCTGATGATTCAGTGTTGGGAGTACATGAACAGCTCTGTTTTGGCTGCTTTATCTCCTGCCAGTCTTGGAGCGTGAGCAGGAACCACTTATGTGTTTATTGCTTTACTTCTACCTTGCAGCGTTAACCCTTGGCTCCCAAAGCACTTTGCAAACAGCTCGTTCAGCTTCAAACCGTGATTTTCTCAGCCCTTCGGATGCAGTCATGAGCCCAAACACGTTCTAAAAGTCCTCGTCGGTCTGTCCCTCTCAGCTGGACATTGGTCAGGAAGGAGAATGGCTGCAGTGATGTGAGCACGGGTCCCCCCAACTTGTGCCTTCCTGAGGGCATAGAGGGAAGAGGTTTTATGCGAATATGAAACAGGAAGAACATTCCCACTTCTTCTTTTACCCCCAGGTAACTGGGTTTGGTGCTGGCAGTTGCGAGGAAGCTTGTTCTGGCTTGTCAGCAGAGCAGATGGGACCTGGGAGTCAGGGGTGGTGGAGAACGGGCGTGGGACTCCTCTGCTGGAGCTGTTTGCACTCCTGCCGTGGCTCGGCCGTCACTCAGGGGCTCTGGGAGAGGGAGATGCACGTGTGCCCGTGATGGATATGAGATCTGCCAGCAAAGCCGGGAGCAGGGCGAGCTGATATTCCAGGCTTTAGCACTTTCTTCCACCTAAGGTTTTAATGTCTAACACCGGTTCTGTTCTGCTTCTCTCAAAGTTTGCAGAAACACGCTGCTAACCTCAACAGAAACGAGGTCAAGGCTGTGGTCAACTTGAAGTTAGGATCCTGCTTAAAGATGGTAAAAGTGTAGTTTTGGGGACAGACTCTTCTGCAGAGGGAAGAAGATGAAATGTTCTCTAAGTTGAACCCCTCTTGCACCCAGGTCGGTGCCACGTGATGTGGAAATGTTGGTCTTTGGGGTATGTGTGGGTCTGTAGCAAAGCCCTGAATGTGAATCCTTGCAGTTCTTTGGAAGAGTTTGGGCAGTTTCCACATAGTGTTGAAACAACTCCTAGAAGCAGACCTTGAAAATAATGCAGGGTGCTCCGTGCAAGTGCGAAACAATCCAGTTTTTAGCCTGTTTGAAATCGCTGCGAAAGCAAATTAAGTAATGGAGAGCACTAGGAAGCTGGTTCAGCTGTTCTCAACTCAAGAAGTTCCCCTTGCCAGCTGTGTGTTCGGTCTTGAGCGTGCGGGAGCCAAAAAAGGTTTCATCTCATTCTCTCCTCTCTCGGGTCCGTGAGGGGAGCAGAAGTTATAAATAGTGTGAGCTGACTCTGCTCAGTAATAAAACAAGCAAATGGGAACCCCAGCACACGCCAGGGCCGGGTGGACGGGGTGGTGAGGGAAGGCATGGCTGAGCTGGTTGATGGGGAAAATCTCGAAGGATTGAGAAGGGCCTTGTGAATCTGGATGAGGGAGGGGGAAACAAGGCAACATCTGGATCCAGATGTTCTTGTGCTAAAAAGCAGCCGTAATATCCTGGGGAGGTGAAGCTGGTTGCGAACAGAAGGTAGAAGCAGGTGGTCTAGTTTCTTTGGGTGAGTTATTAAAGGAAATAAACAGCACCAGCAATGATTAATGAAGGCGAGAAAGAAAACTCAGCTGGGTTTAATTCCGTTGCATTCTCTGTTATTCTGAAAGAGGTTGTTTTGGTTTGTTTTTCAGTAGGAGAGCTATTTTGAGAGCGTTTCTTTATATGGCCTGTGGCTGACACTGCATTGGAAAATGCTCGTTGTCATTATACTTTTGAGGTGCACGGATTGCATCTTAATATAGGTCCTGTGTTGAGAACCCTTTGCCTCTTTTATGATCTCATGTACCCCCCACCCACTCACCCACGGTTGAATAACGTGTCCCTTTGGCAGCTACAGCAAGTTGCATACGTGAAAAACAGTAGGAAAGCATTTCTGTATTTTTAGCCTCTTTTAATGCACTTGAGCCGTCAGGAGAGGATCCCTGTGACGTGCCAGCTCCCTGCGAGTGGCTCGAAGACTCTCCCGAGAGCAGCCGGGCTACGGATGGGAACTGCTTGTTTCCAGCATAGTTTGTTCTAGGAGTTTTCAGGGAGAATGACACCAAAAACAGGGTGTGACTCTGGGAGGGCTTGGGAGTTCAAATGTGGACTGATCCCTGTCCTACACCGTGCTGTGCTGATTGTTACCAAAGGACGAAGCAGTTGGCGTCTTCTGACCCCACGTGAGCTAAAGCCGCAGCAGCTGTTTTTGAGCAACAGTCAAAACAGCTGGAAAAGTTTTACTGCTGTTCTTGGTGACAAACACAATATCCAAGGAAGCTGTTGCACAAGCGAGGGCTGGATGGGGTGGAACAAGTGCTAACAGAGTCGTAGTGAGATATTTTTTTGGGACCTCTGTTCCAGGTGTGTCGCTCTGCTATCCATCACAGAATCACAGAATCACAGAATGTTCGGGGTTGGAAGGGACCTCTGAAGATCATCTAGTCCAACCTTCATCCCAGCACA